AATTCAAGTTTATGTTTCTAAAATGTCTAACAAGAGGATATTTCTCCAGAAGTGACTCCTGTGAGATCCAACCTCTAGCAGCCTGGGATCAAATCTGTCTTTCTTGGTATCAATAAGCTTTACAAAAAAAAAAAAAAAGAGACTCTTTTAAAAGTGTGAATACGCTTTGTGTATTAATTGTGAGCTAATGGATCCAATTTATTTTATTCATCAAGTGTTGTACCCACGCATGATTGTGTGAGAAGATTCTCCTGGCTCCTATCAGGAAGAAGAAGTAAGTTCCCATGTGTTTGTGTGACCCAAAATGAACCGGCTCTGTGGATCCTGGAACTGTCCCTAGAGAAGCTATGTTCTCCCTCAAGCATCCACATCCTGGCCGTCATGGAATGTGTGCAAATGTTCTCCCCCCCGAGCCTTCCCACATGCTCTTCTCTGCACCTAGAATCTTCTTCCCTGGCCTCTTCACCAAGCTAAGTCCTACTTGCTCTTCAAGACTCTGCTCATCCCTGGGCGAGCAGTCACTGGGACACTCTGCTGAGGTGCATTTTGCAGAATCCTCTTGGCAAGTAGTGCTTTCCCTGCTACAGGACTCACTGCACTGTGTTGTCGTGGCTTATTTACTATGAGACCCTTTAGGGCAAGAAAATTTGTATTCAGTTTTATCTCTAGCTCTTAGCTCAGTGTGTGGCACTTAGTAGGTGTTCAAGGAATATTTATTTATTATGCCATTTATTCCAAGAAGTGACAATCTGCCTGCTGGCTGCCAAAGACTGTGAAAAATCAGCTCAGCTGGTTATGCAAACGTACATACTAACCAACCAACACAGGGACGCCTCAGCATTGACAATGAGAATAACACTGAATAATTATTATTTTTTAAATTACTATTAATATAAAGACAGAGGTATAGTTATAATAATCTGTACCCTTAGGGTTGTTTGACAGGCATGCATACTCCTAAATCCCTGGAAACCCTGAAGAATAAAATATTTTGTATATGTTTTTAGCAAAGCTAAAATTTTTAAAACCTAAAATACAGAATGTTTACAAGTTTAGGTTCAGTTTCAATTCCAAAATCAAAACATATGCCTCAGTCTGTCCTCAAACCACACACAGGATCTTAAGTCCTGCCCTTCTTTCCTGGAAGCCAAAGAAACCTCTAAATACGCTGACACTCAGTCATTTTCTACCCTCTCTAATTTTTCATCCATTTTCGTTTTAAAAAATACGAAATTGTCACGGACAGATAATTCAGGTTTTCGTAGAATAAATACAAAAGGAATACATACATTCATTAAAAAAAGACCCAAAAAGACCTGTTAACTTTGTCTTCTGTGCAGCAAGGAAACTATCTACCCTGCCCACAAGCGCTAATGAACTAATTAACATGCGCCGGAGTGTGTGTGTGTGTCTGTTTAAAATTAGGACCTTGATATAAGCTGCAAACTTTCAGGTTGCAATGCTGGAACTTGCACAACAATACCAGACAGGCGGAGATCCAGGACTAACACTTGCTGTAACAGCACAATGCATTTTCACTGGGTTTTTATTTTATTTTATTTTTCTTCCCTCTCCCTCTTTTATTCCTAATTTATTAGCACAAATGCTCAATTGGGAACATAGTGGCAGAGCCATCCTGTCTCATCCTGGAACTCCCAGTCTATTAACATGGACTTCAGTCTGTAGATCATTCCCATCTGAGGACAACGAACAGGAGACAGAGGGGTTTTACCAGCAGTCTGGTTCCTCATGGGCTCCCCTTCATTGGAAACTGTTTCGTGACATAGAATTTTTCTTCAGAATATCAGCATTTCAGGCATTATACCTGAAGGGTTGTCCCTCTTCAAGTACCCAAGGTGTATTTCTCTAGGCTATTCTGACGATGCCACTTTTCCTATAAAAGCCTTAGCTGTTATCCCTTGGCCTGGGCTACTAACCTCCTCTTCCCTTGTCTGGATTCCACTCATCCTTTAAGGTCCACTGCATGGCTCAGCACCCCATTGTACTCAGCCTCGGCTATGATTTGACCCCTTTGCACACCAACTCAACCTTTGTTTGACCGATAATAACAGCCTCGATTTATTGAGTGCCTGCTCTTTGCCAGATACATCGCACCATCACCGCAGTTAATCCTCACAACTGCAATTTTATAGATGAAGAAATTGGGGTTTCTGCATCTATAAAAGAGATGTTCAGTGACTAAGTGGGAGGATACCAGGCTGGAAAATCTAACTCCAAAATCCATGCTCTTTCTACACCTTCACATTGCCTTCCCATTTAGTACTTCCCCATCCTCCAAATCTGGTTTCCTCCAATAAAGAATCTCTTGAAGGGAAAGATTATGTCTCTTTATATTCAAGCTTCTAAAGTCATCATCACCAGATGTCTACCAAGCGTCTGCCATTTAGGTGGCACTGTGCTAGACCCTGAGGATATGAGAGACTCAGGCCATGGTCTCAGCCCTGAGGACAAGGAACAGGAACAGAGCACAGAGCTCCTACCTGGTGCTCACAGGTGTTTGTACCAGACTGTTTGCACTGTGGGATAAACACACCCTCTCATTAGTACCTGGACTTCCCGGTAACATCAGTTACACTCTTCCGGAATTTAGTAAAGGCATTTCTACCTTGAACAATATTTTAGGTTTTCTTATAGAAATATAGAAAATCTGGTTGTAGGGTGTTACCCTGGATTCTAAAGAGCTCTACATCGTGGTGCGACGTGCACTTTGAAAGCATACTTATCCGGTTGCAACTGCTACCTTGGCAGAGCTTAGCAGCAAAGTAGATATTCTATGGCTAGAAATGAAGAGTTAAGGGAGATACTTACTCAGAAAGATTCAGATTTCTGTCTTTTTACCTTATCTTAATTCCCTGACGAAGGCTGCCTGCTGGGCAGGGCAATGGAGTAGGATTTTCCCGCTCAGGGAATATTCCGGAGGAAACATCACTTAAGCCATGGCTCCTGCCATGGAAGCTCCATCACTAATGACAAAAGCCCAGGGCAGAAGACGTCCCAAGCTGTAACCGTCCCAGAACATGCTTTCTGCAAAGTGGCTGACGTGCTTCACAGCCACCGCTACCGTGCAGACCCTGTCTGGGTGACTAAGCAATTCTCTGGCTTGTTCAGCAAATTCTCTAGAAGGAACTTTGTTATATTCTAACTTGTAGCTGTATAAGTGACATAAAAGGAGAAGAACAGTTTTGAGGAAAACAGTATAAATAAAGAGTTTCTGTTCATTTCAGCTTCTTCAGAGAAACACCTCATTGTGCTTCTGTCACTGAATATTCTCTTCTTTCTTTTCTTAATGGAGAGAGTCTCTCTAGACTTCAAAGGGAGATGTGTGAAGGGAGAATGGTCTTATCTTTCTGCCTCTTACAAGGTTGGGTCACTAGAACCTTATCAGCAAGAAAGAGGAGTCGTGGTATAAGAAAGAGAAAGCACATCTGGAAAACATCAACATTTTAGTTCATTAACGTGGTGTTTGGAAACCAAAAGTGCATGTTGTATTAACTTCTTTCTGCCAGCAGAGGCCTGCAGGAGGGGGCACTGCAGGAGAGGAACGAGGGACATCATCTGGCCTCCCTTGTACCAGCTCCCGCTTCTCTTCTCCCTTCGTCCTGGTGAGACTACGCCTGCAGGGCAGGCCAAGCCAACCTCTGACATTTTAGGTTTCTAGGTAGGGCTTTTAGGGGCAGCAATCCCCTACGTGCAGCTTGGCTTAGAGGTTCAGGGGCATCTACCGTTTGTCTTAGTAGAAGTCATCCCTAATCCACAATCCATCCTCCAACCATCTGTCCATCCACCCTCCCATTAACTCATTTGGTAAACTTTTCTGGGCACTTGTTAAATGCCATGTGACTAGGTGCTAGTGGGAGATATAATAAATAAAAGACAGTCTTTTGTCTTCATAGAAATGCATAGTTTGGGTGGTGAGACGGACAAGCCCACCAGCCCTCATGATGCAGCATGACAGCTCAGTCACTAAAGGTTGCAGAGAGAGCAAACAGGAGGGGGCCTCACTCGGCCTTCAGGGCCTTCCTGCAGGACATGTGTCCAAGTGGGACATGAAGGGCAAGGAAGAGGCACTTAGGCTAAAGAGAGCAGAGAACAGGTGTCTAGGCAAATGGACCAGCACACCCAAAACATGTCAGAGCTGTGAAGGACTTTCAAAAGTGGGTAAAAATGGAAGAAATATTTGTACCTTAAACAGACAAACAAACAAACAAGGCCCTCTTCTTTGGATCTTTCTGTATAATTCTGAAGGCATACAGGTCCCGGATCTTATTTCATAGTACCGTGGTCCCCAACCCCCGGTACTGGTCTGTGGCCTGCCAGGAACCAGGCTGCATAGCAGGAGGCCAGCGTTGGGGGGAGGGGGGAGGGAAGGAGGGGCGGGCAAAGCCCCACCTGCACCCACAGATGCTCCCTGTCGCTGGCATCGCCACCCGAAACCCCACCACCCCACCCTGTCAGATCAGCAGTGGCATCAGACCCTCATAGGAGCATGAACCCCACTGCAAACTGGTCATGGGAGGGATCCAGGATGCAAGCTCCCCATGAAGATCCAAGGCCTGATGATCTCAGGTGGAGCCGGGGCGGTGACACTCCCTCCTCCCCACCCCCATCCGTGGAAAAACTTTTCCAGGAAACCGGTCTCTGGTGTCAAAAATGTTGGAGACCACTGTCCTAACAGAAGTAAAAATTACAAATGTTATATATCACGTACTCTGTTTGCTGCTTCATCTGAAAACTTAAGACACTGCGGGTTAGATTAACTCATCACAAACAGAAAAAATGACCTGGTAATTTTCCAGATTTCCATTGCCCCAATTCATCAGCCAACACACTCTGTGATTCACATCATTTACCACATACATGGCCTTAGAGATGGGAGTAAAAAGCCTTGACTGTACTGAGGATTTTTATCATGTTTTGCCATTGTAATGGCTAGAGCTATGTAAATGCAATTAAGAAGCAAGGAACAGAGAAATACAGCTACTATCTACTGGGACCAACTATAGGACAGGTAGTTCATTATGTCATCTTTGCTTATCCTAATCACCTTGAAAAGTGGCATTATTATTGCCATTTTACACATAAGAAATCAGCAAATCTAGGAGGTTATGAAGCCACACAGAAGACACAGCATGATGCCTGGCATGCTAGCAAGCACTTACTAAACATGCACAATTGTATTAAAAATGGTATCAAGAATTAAGCTTGGACTGTCTGGCTCCGAAGCCCATTGGGAATTCGCTTTGAATCTTTCTCCTCCTAGGTCAGGCCTGTGAGCCAGGGAACAGAGAAGGGAATGTGTGGGGAATCCTCCACTTGTTAACCTGTCAATTCCGAGGATAGGCAGTTGAGGGAATATTGTGACGATCCGCAGACTCCACGCCTGCCTCTGTGCGGAAACCAGACGGACGTGTCTGTCTCCTGTGTCTCTGACAGCGGGGCTTCCCTGGCTGTTTTCTATAAAAGGGTTTATGTAGTTCGGGATTCTGAATCATGACACCTTCTACTTGTGGTCTCTGAAAGGGATGTGGGGGGCGGGGAAACCTCCTTTGTCTGCATGTCTGGAGGATTCAGGTGAACACCCTGCCCCTACCGTAAACCAGACACTTTTAGGAATTAGACGGCCAATCCCTGGGTGAAGTCAGTCTTGCATTTTGTTGATCTTCTGTCAATACAGTTTTCCTGTGTGCTGACTCCAGGGTTTCCATAAAGCCTCATAGAAATAAGATGAAAAAAAGAAAAATAGAGTAAGAGTGAGGAATAGCTAGAAATAGGTAGGAAAAAGCAGCAAAGAGGAAAAGATCTTTATAACTCTTAGAGGACCATTATTATTATTGAAGTGGATCAAAGGCAATTACTATTTCTTCCCTTTCAGATCCCATAGCTACAAGAAGCTCAAGACACAGAGATGGAGTTTATCGCGTTGCTAAATTTTGCCTATGAGTTGTATGAGTGAAGTATTTCAGACTTGTAAAGGTGAATTTTTTCATGCTTAAATTAATGGAGGAACACTTGCTATTTGGAAGAAAAAAGGAAAGCGTACTTACCTTTATATCCCAAAATGGCTACTGTGATTGTTAGCAAGGCACACAAAATATACAATAGTATGATAGAAAACTTCAGTGCCCAGTTATTTTTACATTTGGTACATTGTGTTCCTTCCTGAATACCTGTAAGAAAAGTCAAATTTTAGTAATAGTAAACAAAAACACTATTTCAAAAAGTACCTTTTTGCATTTTGGTCCAAATACTGGTATCCATTAGCAACACAGAGATACATTCTGAGAAATGCATCCTTAGGGGATTTTGTTGTTGTGCAAGCATTATAGAGTGTACTTACACAAACCTAGATGGTATAGCCCACTACACACCTAGGCTTATGGCATAGCCTATTGCTCTCAGGCTACAAACCTGTACAGCATGTTACTACTGTACTGAATATCGCAGGCAACTGTAACACAATGGTAAGTATTAATGCATGTAAACATAGAAAAGTTTCAGTAAAAATATGGTTTTATGATTTTATAGTACCACCATTGTATATGAAGTCTGTTGTGGATTGAAACGTTGTTACGTGGCACATGACTATAGTTTCAAATCAAATTCCATTATGATAACCGCAATTATTATTTCAATAAAAATCTCTATATGACAAAAGATTTAAAACACCCAAATTTACTTGTTTCAGACATTATTGGACCTATGGAAATTCAGACAACCCAAAAAAACGTGATTTGTCCCCTGATGTTTGTTTCAGTGGTGTGTTGGAGCTGGTTTCTACTGGCTTGTGAGAGCCAACTATTAAATTTGTAAGAATTTTGGGAGCTGGTTGTTAAACTACTAGTAGCCTGAAATCAGCCCTGGAGGGAGTATTTACACCATGGAAATTGGCAAACACTACAAATTAGGACAACGCCCTCCCAGACAACTGGTTTACCAGCATGTCACTGGCTGTAATGTACTATATGAACTACAGCAGAAAATACAGGTAATTTTATGATTAAGTGCTCAATATATAACCATTTTTGTATATTACATGTATACAGAAAACAGACACTGACCCTTATTTATCACAGTGATTTGAATAATGACTATGGAACAAACAGAGACACCAGACATTTTTTCATTAAGAGGAGGTAAATTTTTACTGCTTACAGTTCAACTTTCTGAAAAACATTCAAATCAGCATCATTGCTGCAAATGACTCCAAAAAAATAACCCATAAAAGGGGAATTTCCATCTGATTGATTAGAAACACAGAAGACAAAGACTGTGGACATTTTGATGTGAAAATCACGTTGTAGGGAGTGTCGGCAGACTCCTCGTTTTCCTGCGCCGTTTCCCTATATATGTCTTGCTAATAGCGTCCCCCAGGAGCAACAGCACATAAAGGACTGATCTCCTATAATTGTGCTCAATAACTTTTGATGGGTAAGTCATGAGGATTAAGCCACAGTCGAAGTTTCTCTCTTGTGGTTTGTAATTTTACGCACAGTGCCCTTCTTCAGTGAAAAGAGTTCTTCAGCTGTGTTTAATGCAAAATGATGAGAGAAACAGCATATAACAATGACCCGAATTTAGCTTTCAGGGCTCAACCAATCCCTCTGGCTAAAGGCACACGGGGAGGGGGTCTGCTCTGTTTCATGACTTAGAGCAGCGCTTCGCAAACTTTGGGGTGCATCAGAATCACTCCAAGAACCTGTTAAAACACAGCTTTTTGAACTCAGGAGGTCTGAGAAGGGGCCTGAGAATGTGCATTTCTAACAAGCTCCCAGGGGACGCTGAAGCAGCTGGTTGAGGCACCACACTTGAGAACAGTGCTTTTCTAACTTTAAGGTGCTTATGAATCACATTGTTGAAGGACAGGTTCTGATTCAGCAGGTCTGAGGGAGGAACTACAATTCTGCATTTCTAACAAGGTCTGTGTGACACCTGGTCTGAGGACAGTACTTGGAGGGGCAAAGGTTTAGTTTAGAAGATGGTCATGACGGATCAACCTTGGGTTAGCTGATTCCTTGAAGGTGAAGCAGTAAAATCTCAATGATCACACAGAGTAAATCAACTTCTTTGTGTTTCAATTTTCCCACTTTTTAAAACTCTCTTTCCTTTCTGTCTTGCTTCCTTTAACAGCCACCTGCATATCTCAGCACCACCTCTTATGTCCAAAATTGACCTCAGTACTAGCCCTGCCAAACCAGATCTCTAACTACCACCAAACTTTCTTATTTCCACCCAATTTAAATATTACTACCACCCCAATCCCGCAGGTGGTTAAACTGAAAAAACACCATGAATTCCTCCCCTGTACTTATTCTCCAATTCAATCAGTCACCATGCCTTGTTAATCTCCTGTGGGCTATTTTTTATCATGATCATCATCACCTACAGTTTATTGATGTTCACTGACTGCCTACAGTGTACCAGGTTCCGAGCTAGGCACTCTACACACAGCATCTCTAATCCATAAAAGAACCCTGCGACCAGGCAAGTTAGTGAGAGCCGAACTGACATCCTATACCCGTCACAGCCAGGATTCTGGCCTGTGTCAGCCTCCAAATCCCATGACTTATCTCTCCACTCTAGGCCAAGGTCCCCATCTCTGGTCATCTTTTCCCCTCCATTTCCACTGCCACCACCCTATTGTGAGATCTTTTAATCTCAATGGAAGCTTCCTCTTCCATTCCCACCGGAATCTAGCCTTACCCTGTACTAAAATACTGCTGTCCTCATGACATTTGCCAAAAAGGAAAAAGCAGAAACTTTCAATGGTTCACCTTTAACTAAAGGATGAAAATCACGTACACTCCCCCCACGCACACACCAGCTCCTAAGCTCTTTATAATCTGGTGTTTTAAAATGAAACAAAGACTGCTTACGTTGGCGGGGTGAGATGGCTCACACCTGCAATCCTAGCAGTCTGGGAGGCCAAGGTGGGAGGATTGCTTGAGGTCAGGAGTTTGAGATCAGCCTAAGCAAGAGCGAGACCCTGTCTCTACTAAAAATAGGAAAAATTAGCTGGGCACAGTAGTGCACACGTGTAGTCCCAGCTACTCGGGAGGCCGAGGCAGGAGAATCACTTTAGCCCAGCAGTTTGCAGTTGCTGTGAGTTCTGATGACACCACTGTACTCTAGCCCAGGAGACAGAGTGAGATTCTCTCAAAAAGAACAAAAAACAAAAACAAAACCCTTACATCTAGTAAGGGTGAAAATATTTTTTAAATTTGGAGAGAGAAAGTATAGGTAGACCCACAAACATGACACATTCCATGTCGAGAAATAATCAACTTGCTTTGGTGGCAACTGTAAAACACAGGAGGGTGACAGACACGGGGATGCCAGACCCACCTCCTGTCAAAGGACTGGATGACACTCTCATGGGCAATGAGGGGTTTCGTTCCTTTTGGATTTTGGCGCTGTGGTTGATGATTTCTTACATTCCAGCAAAAGAGCCTGAGAAGATCTGGTTAGAGCAGAGATTGTGCGAGATGACAGAATCTGGCTAGAAGGTGGTGTAGAGGTCACCTGGTAAGTGTCACTGTGTTACTGTGTGTCCTGACTCCGGCTCACGTGCCTTTCTCTCCCTGCCTTCCCTGGGCATCTCGTGCATGTGGTACTCGCGCGGGTCCGCTCCCAGACAGTCGTCACTGGCTCCCATTCGGAAGAGCAGAGGCACTTCCTCACCGTGTGCACCGCCCACTGCTGACTGTATCAGCATTTAATCAGTATCAGACGGCACTGCCTGCCCTCCTTTTCCACTGGACACACTTTCTCTGTCTTGTTTCCTCCCTCCCTGACTTATTTTTCATAAGAATTCTGTTTTATCTTTCCTCTCTGCCCTCCGCTGGGAGGACATCTGGCCAAACATATAGATGCCTACTACAAAGAGACCCCGCTGGCTCACGTAGCTGGGGGACCCCCTCCCCCTTGAGCCTAGATGGTCACGAAAAAACATTCGAGAGAGATATCCCCCTGTTATCAGCCTTTGTAGTGTTTGTTTTCTTAGCATTACTTTCCAGAGCCTGGGGACTTTGTTCCCATGGGGGGTGGGGGTGGCAGGGAAGGAGGGGCAAGGGTACCCATCTGCGGGTAAGAGATTCCAGTCCAGGAGATGAAGCGGTGTTGCCCCCTGCCCTCAAGAGAGCCAGCTTCTCAAAAACCCGGGCCCAATTGGCCCTTTTTTATTTCGGCAGGTTCCGGCCGGAAGGGGCTTGGGGGGGGGTGCCTTTCTGCTGGTTTTCCCTCTTGAATTGTTTCTTGCTGAACCCCATTCTTGGCTCTTGTTTTGAATGTATTTTCCGGTGTCCGAGTCTTTGTAATACAAAAGAGTCTGGGGGCCTAGTGAAGCCAGAATTGCCGTGGTTAACTCCTTGATCAGTCCACAGAGGCTGACAATTTGGTTCCGGTACCCAAACTCAAAAGTTCCCTGTATTGCCCTGTTTCCAAATACATGTTTCAAGCAAGAGGAGTGGGGGTGGGGGACGGGCAGCGACCCAGGAGCCCTTAGCTGATTGGAGGGAATAACTGAAACGCTCCAGGAATGACAGTGAAAATGGCCAGAAGGATTCACCAGCAAAGGGGATTCCTTTCTGCTGTGGTTCTCCATGAAGAGCCCTCCCAAGTGCTGTGGTTGAGGCTCCAATCCAGTCTGTTTTTCTGATCTTTTTGGAGGAAAAAATGTGTCTCTTTCACTATCAAAGTTTTCTTCTATGTATACCACTAAAGGTGGGCTCATCTGTTAAAAATGGATCCATGCTGATCAAGCCCCTTCCTTGGTAGGAGGAGGCTGGCTCTGTGGGTAGGCATGGGGCACTTCTGGGCTGTCTTAGTTATTGCGAGTGTCTATAGCTCTTTATGGTGCTACCATAAAGATCATGTTACCAAAGAGACGTTTTAAAAGGCTGGTAGACTGTACAATCCAGAAAACCACAGGTTTTGATCTGAGATTTACAATGACCTTTTCATGCGGTTTTTTTATAGTTATTAATCTACTGCCTGGTGGCATATATTCCCATAAACCCATAAGAATGATTTGGCTCTAACAGTAAAACTGATGATTCAAATAAATTCCTATAATTAAAATGCCCTCTAAAGCAACAAAACAATAAGAGTTAACGTCCTGGTTAGTTGCTTGAATGTTATGCAACATCATCAGAACAAAAAAATACATAAA